TATCTACTTTACTTTGATTTTCAATATCATCATAACCAGCCGTTGCTGTCATTATTTGCTTAACTGTTGTAAAAACTGATGTCAATGTTTTATCTTTTAGCGATCTTCAGATCAGTATTATCTACTTTACTTTGATTTTCAATATCATCATAACCAGCCGTTGCTGTCATTATTTGCTAACTGTTGTAAAAACTGATGTCTTTAGAATCTCATAGGCCTTTATTATCACTTATCGGAAAACGAGATCGAAGATTCCAGAACGTTCTCACCCGTAGTAGAAGGCATCGGACACTGCCATGACGTCATTCTATACGCGTGGGGGTATGGGCGTCGGTCCAAACTCCGGCACATAAAACTTGGCGCGAGGCACTTCTCAGCATACAGTCTTTCGACAACACTCGCAGTGAACACATTGCAGCTTCGGACTCCCTGAGCCAACGTTCTTTATATCTCTCAGCTGTAAGCCTCAAGAGCAAGCATGGCCCCAATTCAGAAGCACATTTCATCTTTTACTGAAGAGAATTCAGACAGAGCGACCAGCAAGACCTTCACAGCCAGCAGTTGCTTTAACACAGCCACAACGAGCACTTCAAGCAGCAGCATAACAGGCAGTGACAGTGCTATCGCCTCTGACCGTGACAGTCCAAGGAATCGCATCACCCACTTCGACAGAGACGGAGAGCGAGAGGTCGCGCTGCCCATCACCTCACGAGGTCACTTCTATCATGACTCCTTCTTCAAGGATCTCCGAGAGCATTTCGATGATGCCGTAAAGGACACACTGGACCTGTGGAATTCCAGGTCACCTTTCGAGGACGACCTGCTTTGCTACAGACGAATGCGAGACCTCAACCTCACGGAAGAGACTCAGGCTCTTTCCGTCAAGCAGGACGACAACTCTCACCAGGTAAATGTCGTTCACATGCAGTATACTGTTGTTGAACTTATTACGGAGGAAATCAGTTGTTTGCGTCTCTGACATAATATTTGCTATCATAGATACATGTTCCTTTCCCCAGGTCGTGATTGACGTGCGCGACTTCATGGACGGCGACATCAAGGTGAACGACAGCGAACTGGTGATCGAAGGCAGCGTCGAGAAGCGACGAGATGGCGCCGTCTCGAAGAAGACTTTCTGTCGACGCTTCTCATTCCCGGGTCTCTTGAGCGAAGACGCTGTGTCCTCGTCCATGTCGGCAGATGGAGTTCTTACTGTCACTGTTCCAAAGAAGGTGCGTGGTAAAAGCTGTCAAATGGATAGTGAACACAATCATCATTTTCAGGCTGCGCATTATCTGAAAACTTTTTACAGACAAGGAACCTTCATTTACATGAAATTCTTCTTCCAGAGTTCCTTGACAAACAACAAGGAGGGCCAAACTATCAAAATCACTGCCTCGCACAAAAAGTCTGCAGATGCTACAAAGACTCACACGAACATCACCAACAACGTCGAAACGAAACAAGTTAGTGTCGAAGGAAAAACATCAAAATCGTCTGGAGTGAAAGTGGAAGAGGATCAGACTCAGTCGACGGAGTCTCAGAACACGCAGGACTCGAGCGACTCGACGCAGGCCAACCCACTTGCTTCGTTCCACCTTCTTCCCATTTCGGAAAGAGGGCCTTTCTTCCGCGATTCCTTCTTCCAGGACACTCGAAAGCAATTCCAAGAAGCCGTCGACCAAGTCCTCAAAGAGTGGGGACAAGTGGACTCTGCGAGCGACCACATGAACATGTACAGGAACTTGCGAAAGCAGAACTTGCAGGAAGAGAACCAAGCCGTCGCCTTCAGCGAGGACCACCAGTGTTATAAGGTCAGTTGAAAGAGCATTCAATACTGATACATTTGACTTCATTTTATCAGGTAAACAATCCATCGTTTCATAAACTCATGCTGTTGCATCCATGTGTGTGAATTAATTAAGATAATTTTCAAATGAATTCAGATTGTGGTGGATGCACAAGACTTCAAGGAAGGCGACGTCAAGGTCAAGGTGGTGGACGAGAATGAGCTAACAATCGAAGGCAATTTGGAGATCAAGCGAGACGATTCCGTGTCCAGCAAGAGTTTCTTCCGCCGTTTCTGCTTCCCAGGACTCGTGAGCGCCGACACCGTGACGTCCGGGATGTCATCTGACGGCATCCTCACTGTTACTGTACCAAAGGTAAGTCTGCAAAGCATTTTCACTAATTTCATTTTATATTATGGATTGCAAAAAACGATTGATATCTTTAAACACAGTTCAATAATCTCTACTTTCTTCAATCAGACAACATCGGGATCGAAGGCCAGTGCGGTTTCTGAAGCGTCAACATCTCAGGTTTCCCAGACTTCATCTCAAAACACAGAAGACAAACAAACTCTCACAAAGGTATCCAAATCAGAACAGCAAAGTTTTCGTTCCGAGTATCAGAATACATCTACCAGAAGGACTGAAGCGACATCGTCACTCGCAAACAAAATTACAAGTGAGGAAAACCAAGAAGGCGCCAATAGTAGAATCTGTGAAAGCGGAAGCTCGCTTCTAGAAAGCACACAGTCAAGCAAGGACGCAGTGGACGACCAGTGGCTTCCCATCTCCTCGAAGGGTCAGTTCTTCTCTGATTCCTTCTTCGAAGACGTCCGTAAGGACTTCGAAACGGCTGTCAATGAAGTCCTCAGCAGGCATGACATCATGAGGAGTGCCAACGACGAACTCTCCTGCTACCGAAGTCTCCGGGAACGTGAGCTCAAGGATGAGACTCAGGCGATGAAGACCACGGAAGATCAACACGGATTTAAGGTGAGCATATGACATCTTGGTGAAGTAATATGATCTTAAATAAACATTTGAATTAACCTATCTTCGTACCATGTCTTACGTTAAATAATACTAATAGTTACTTATATCCTAATTAGGTGGTGTTGGACGTCCACGACTTCATGAACGAAGACGTCAGAGTGAAGGTGGTGGACAACAAGGAGGTGGTGGTGGAAGGTCGTGCGGAGAAGAACGACGGAACGTTGAGGTCAAGCAAGAGCTTCTGTCGACGCTTCACTCTTCCTGGCGCAGTGGACATGAATGCTGTCACCTCAGCAATGTCCTCCGACGGTGTCCTCACCATCATTGCGCCAAAGGTCTGAAGTTGGACAGAGAAGTGAAAAAAAATTGAAAATACAAAAAGTGATTCCAAATATCACGGGTTAAAGTTTCAATGAATATTATTGAAACAACAATGAATGTTAAAGATATTTATTTATCAGCAATGGTAAATTGTATTTTTGTATGAACCTATTTTCATAATAAAATTAATTTATTTATCCAACACTTTTTTTCCGACTTTATATCATAACTTTGAAATACATACCCACCAACACACACTCATACAGAGATACACACACACAGACACACACACATACGAGTATCTTTATATATATGTATGTTTATTAATTTATTTATATACATATTCATATACATATATATGCATATACATATATATATGTTTGTGTGTGTGTGTATGTGTGCATGCGTGTTCATTTATATATTTATATGTATATATATGTATGTACATACACACACACAAATGTATATACATATATATACAAATATATATACATATGTATGAATATATATACATGCATATACATACATGAAAATAGCTGACTAGTATAAACTGCTAGATAAAAACAATTATAATATCACACTGCAGCTGCCCAAGTGCGTAACAGAAAGTTTGTTTCTAAGGCTTAGAGATGAAGTAAAGATATCCCACTAAGCTTCTTATGCACAGCTTATTGCCTTACAGTTTGTTTTTCTATCTGACGATGAGAGAAGGTAGTGGACAGATGGATTTTTTTTTTTTTTTTTTTTTTTTTTTAATCTCAATCCTTGTTCTTCACTTTCCAGTCGAAATGAAATTATACATTCACTATTTGTTAACAATGGACATGAAAGATATGATAGCCACGACGTTCTATATAGATAGATATTGATATAAACATGTAGTTGTGTATTTGGATAAAATGTATGTAGATAAAACACATACGCACTCAAACATATATCCGTTTGAGTGTGTCTATATATATATATATATATATATATATATATATATATATATATATATATATTATATATATATATATATATGGAATCGAGGACGATTCCGAAACTGTTGTCTCACTTTCATCAATAAATCTAGTTTGTACATTGTGGGTTTTTCTTCCATATATATATATATATATATTATACTTTATATTCATATATATGTATATATATGTATATGTATACGTATATTCATATAGATGCATATATATATGCATATATATATATATATATATATATATATATATATATATATATAATATATATAAACATATAGTTATAGGCCTACATACAACTAATGTGTACGATGAAATGTGTTAACACGCACACACACACATCTCTCACTCACTCTTTCTCTTTATATACATACATATCTATATAAACCCAATACAGACATGTGTATATGTAATCATATAAATGCATACATCTATATGTATGTAAACAAAAATACATGCATATATATGTATATATATGTATGTATACATATATATATTTATGTATGTGTGTGTATGTGTGTATATGTACAAACACATTTGTAAATCTATATCAATCTATCCATCTATCTATATATCTTTATATGAATATATATATTATTTATATATATATACACACATATGTTTACATATACATACACACAAACATATGAATGTACCCGAAGATGGAATCGAGGACGATTCCGAAACTGTTGTCTCACTTTCATCAATAAATCTAGTTTGTACATTGTGGGTTTTTCTTCCATATATATATCAACGCGGTATTGTGTTTTTCGTTGCATATATATATATATATATATATATATATATATATAATATATATATATATATATATATATATATATATATATATATATATATATATATATATATATATATATATATATATATATATATATATATATATATATATTATATATATATATATATAGAGATATAGAGAGAGAGAGAGAGAGAGAGAGAGAGAGAGAGAGAGAGAGAGAGAGAGAGAGAGAGAGAAGAGAGAGAGATGTATAACGGGAGAGATAAACAGATAATGTGTGTGTGTGTATACATATACATATGTCTGTTTGGGGTATATCTGGATAGAGAGAAATAGGTGTGTTACATACTTTCCTCACACACATCCATATATATTGTATGTAGGTGCTTAGCTATATATATATATATATAATATATATATATATATATATATATATATATATATATATAGAGAGAGAGAGAGAGAGAGAGAGAGAGAGAGAGAGAGAGAGAGAGAGAGAGAGAGAGAGAGAGAGAGAGAGAGAGAGAGAGAGAGAGAGAGAGATACAAATAAATACATATATATACATATATAAGCGTGTGTGTATACATACAATATGAGAAAGATATACAGATGATATAGGTGTGTGTGTTCGTGTATATATGTGTATGTGCATGTGTACTCAAAATACATATATACATTTATAGATAGATAGATAGACAGATAGACAGATATACATATATATACATACATATATATACATATATATACATACATACATATACATATACATATATACACAGACATATATATACATATACATATCTATATATACATACATATGTATACATATACATATCTATATATACATGCATATATATATATATACATATATATGCGTCATGATGCATATTTTGTGTCATAATCTTGTATCGAATGAGGTCATCATCTACATATGGGCATCGAGGAACACAGACAGCCTTAACATCCATATTTGGCTGCATGGAATTCGCCGTGGAGGATTCACCTACGCACAAGATAATTAGACATTATTAATCATGATCTTCGCAGAAGGAAAAGGAGTATTATCTGCGTCTCATTTACATTTGTGTTGTATTTTTCACATATTCGTGGCGCATTTCCGTGACAGAGGCCCTTCAGTAAACATTTCAGTCAAAAAAAATCAGCAAGATCGAAGTCGTACGCATTGAACTGCATTATAATTACTCAACGGCCAACAATACACACTCATGTCAAATGTACAATCATTTTAATGCAGAAGGATTGCCTACGTTGATTGAATGGCAGACCTTAAATGATTATCCTGGAAGGAGAAAAGGTGGCCAATATTGTATTCCATGAGTATATATCAATTCCATATTAACTATATCACGACCATGCATGTGACCATATCAGACATACCGATCGATCCTTCTTAGAAACATATGAACAAGCCAGAAGCTTCTCACAGATTAAAGAAAAAAAGGAACGCGCCATGACATCATCAGGTATGCCTGGGCGGTGGGCGTCGCTCCAAGTCGGGACACATAAAAGGCGGCGGTTCGTCTAACCCGCCAGTTACTTCTACGCTAACACTTGCAGCGAACACACCGCGAATCAACGATCCTCCGCTTTCACAAGCTTCTTGATCTATTTGCATACAGAAAGAGCAAAATGGCCCCAATTCAGAAGCACTTCTCTTCTCACGTTGAGGAGAACTCAAGCAGCGCAAGCAGCAAGGCCTTCACGACCAGCAGTTCCTTCCACACAGTCAAAACGTCTTCGTCCCACAACAGTGCAATTGCCAGTGAAAGCAAAACAGCCACGAACAGTGATCAGCCACAGACACGCATCTCCCTCCTTGAAAACCAGGCTGACCGAGAGGTTATGCTGCCCATCACCTCACGGGGTCATTTCCACCACGACTCTTTCTTCGAGAATCTCCGCCAGCAGTTCGACACAGCCGTGCGAGACATGCTGGATCTGTGGGATTCACGCTCACCCTTCGAGGACGACCTTCTCTCCTACAGACGAATGCGAGATCTCAACCTCACGGAAGAGACTCAGGCTCTCCCGTAGCCAAGACAACACGTCGCATCAGGTAAGTGGCTTCACAGTAATGATTATATGGTGATATTTACGTGTCTTTAACTGTTGTGTATTGGTTGTACGAATGAATTCCTTAAAGGTGCAATAATGACCTCTGACTTTCCAGGTCGTGATTGACGTGCGCGACTTCATGGACGGCGACATCAACGTGAAGGTCGTGGACGACAGCGAACTGGTGATCGAAGGCAGCGTCGAGAAGCGACGAGATGGCGCCGTCTCGAAGAAGACTTTCTGTCGACGCTTCTCATTCCCGGGTCTCTTGAGCGAAGACACTGTGTCCTCGTCCATGTCGGCAGATGGAGTTCTTACTGTCACTGTTCCAAAGAAGGTGCGTGGTAAAAGCTGTCAAATGGATAGTGAACACAATCATCATTTTCAGACTGCGCATTATATGAAAACTTTTTACAGACAAGGAACCTTCATTTATATGAAATTATTCTTCCAGAGTTCCTTGACAAACAACAAGGAGGGTCAAACTATCAAAATCACTGCCTCGCACAAAAAGTCTGCAGATGCTACAAAGACTCACACGAACATCACCAACAACGTCGAAACGAAACAAGCTAGTGTCGAA